AACAAAAAAAACCTTGAACACATTTCACAAAGAAGAAATAAATGTTCTGCAAGCACATGAAAAGGCACTTAGCATCCTCAGGTATCAAAGAAATGAAAATCAAAACTTCAATGACACTTCATAGTCACTCAAATCGCTGAAAATGAAGAAATTTTYATTGTTGGAGAGGATATGGAACAACTGGAACCCTCCAGCACTGCTAAGAGAAAGCTTGGAAGTTTCTATAAAGTTACTGAAACATTTACCCTCTGACCCAGCGATTCCACTCACTGGTATTACTCAAGATATATGGAAATATATGTCCGAAAAGACTTATTCAGCATAATTTACAGCAACTTCATTCAAAATGCACAATACAAACACTAACTGGAAAAGAGATAAATGAATTGTGGTGTATGCACACAATGGAATACTACTATCAATGAAAGGGAATGATCTCCAGATATGACGAGGAAGACAAAAGTCAAAGACATGGTACTGAATAAAAGGAACCAGCACAAAGAGCCATTGCTAAAGGATTCCACTCATATAAATTTTAAAAACATAACAACTGATTCAGGAAGAATGAAATCAGGACAATGATGCCTTCCAGAGCTGGAAAAGGGGGAATTAACAGGAAAGCACAAAGACAGAATTTGCTGGGATGATGCAAATGTTCTACATCTTTTTTTTATCAGTTGTTCAAAACATTACAAAGCTCTTGACATATCATATTTCATACATTAGATTCAAGTGGGTTATGAACTCCCATTTTTACCCCAAATACAGATTGCAGAATCACATCGGTTACACATCCACGTTTTTACATTCTGCCATACTAGTGTCTGTTGTATTCTGCTGTAGAGGATAGGAAAGGCAGCAGAATACATCTTTTTTTTTTTTAATTAAAAAAAAATTTTTAGTCGTAGCTAGACACAATACCTTTATTTTATTTATTTTATTTTTATGTGGTGCTGAGGACCAAACCCAGTGCCTCACGTGTGTTAGGCAAGTGCTCCATCACTGAGCTACACCCCTAGCCCAAATGTTCTGTATCCTATATAAAGGTTATTTATTAGCTAAGTGACCACATTTATCAGAACTTGTTTAACTGTACATTTAAAAAAATATTTTTTAGTTGTTGGTAGACCATTATTTTATTTATTTGTATGTATGTGGTGCTGAGGATAGAACCCAGTGCCTCACACATGCTAGCCAAGCGCCCTACCACTGAGCCTCAGCCCCAGCCCAACTGTATACTTAATATCAGTGAATTTTACCTCAAAAACCTTCTATTCTGTTAAAAATTACCAATATAGTATGGTTATAAAGTCTTACAAAAGGTTTTATTCCTGATCTGATCATTTCAATAAATTATTTTAAGTTCTTTTGAACCTTTATTCGCATCCTATGTATCTGTAAACAGATGATGACTCTCAATCCCACATGCATTTATGACAGATAAAGTCAATGAAACAGTGTCATAATGTGCCTTTTTATTAAGATTACTTTATGAAGATCTGAGAATACTTTTACCTATTCATATGTAGGCTATATTATAAAATTTATCACTGTTAAAATCCATCTAAGATAGGTTTCTTTATTGTTTTCAATTAATATTTTAACTGCTTAGCTTCTAGATGGCCAATTTTCTTTTATTTGTCTCATATTTGTAATAAAGCAGTTTTCAGGAAGGAATTAATGTATATTTTATACAAATAAAATATATGCAATAATACATGTGTATTGTGTCAATTTATTTATTTATTCGCTCACCCACTTATTCATTCATTCATTCACTCACTCACTTATCCATTTATTTATTTGTTTATTTACTTGCTTGCTTATTCGCTTATTTATTTATTTATTTGTTTATTTATTTCTGCATCACTATTTCTCTTGTTGATTCCTATATCATTCCTTAACTCACAGCTAAGTTTCTTGAGGTTAAAAGAACACTTTTAAAAGAATATTGGTGCCAGGTATGGGGATGCACACCTGTAATCCCAGTGACGTCGGAGGCTGGGCAAGAGGATCACAAGTTCCAATCTTGCATCAATAACTTGGCGAGGCACTAAGAAACTTAGTGAGACCTTGTCTCAAAACAAAAAATAAAAAGAGMTGGGGGTGTGACTCAGTGGTTAAGTACCCCTGGATTCAATCCTTAGTAACCCCCCCCCCCAAAAAAAAAAAACAAATAACCAACCAAAAAAAAAAAAAGCCTTGGATTTAAATCTCTGTTGTGTTTCCTAGTAGCTATATGAATTTAGTTTAAATTGCTTAATTTCATTGAGACCCAGTTTCCTCATCAATACAAACACTTGACGCCACGCTTCACAATAGCTACTTCACAGCTTCAAAAGGAGAGGAGAGGTAAGAGCTGTGCCCCTTGCAACTGAGGGGTTGTCTTCCCTTGGAGAATTTTTAAAACAATAAAAAAGCCACCTGCTGAGGATTCTAGAACACATCAGTGACAAAACAGCTTCCCTGTGGGTAAACTTTTCCAAGGACATTACATAGGACAATTCAAAGCAGACAGTGGGCACCAACCCTGAGTGAAAGAGGAGCAAATGCAACACAGGCCCCAGGTAAGGCCCGGGAATAGGGAGCCCCAGGGAACACTTTTCAAAAAGTGCTGGCCCRGTGTTGGAAGAGCACTAACCATTCAATCCCTGCAACAGTCCTAGGAAGCAGACTCTACTCTCACCATTTTATGGTGGAGGAAAGTGATGGAGAGATCACTAACTTCTCCAGCCACCAAATAGTAAATAGAACAGAGGGCACGTGGGCAGTGAACCCAAAGAAACAGCTTTGAACCAAGAAGCCACAGCACTGTTTCTGAGCTACAGGACCTTTTCAGGGTCTTAACAGGAAGAGCTTGAGGGGCATGAAAGGGGGCATACTGATTTAAAACAGTTTGTTTTAGAGAGTATGGACCCTTAAGAAAAATTTTAAAAATAAGAAAAAATAAAATTAAAAAATGAGAAAAATCATTAAGTCATATAGCTTAAGAAAATAAACTACAGACTAATTTCCTAGTGTCCAGGAATTAGAGTGGCTCTGCCAAAAATATTACACTTAGATGCCCAAACATGCCCTGTATGTGTGGGGTGTGTGAATCTAGCTTCGCTCAGGTCCCTCTACCAAGAGCCCCCTCGGCAGTCTGCCCCAGAGAAGAAGCTGCCTGAGGGGACCTGTGAGCTCACCTACCCAGTACTCTGGCCAAGTGGAGCAGGGACCCACCACCAGAGCCCACAGAGAGGAGCAGAGCCCTCCAGACTGCCCACAGCTAGGCCACATGGCAGGGACATCAGCCAAGTGTGTTCTCATGGCAATGAACTTGCCCTTGACCACATGATGTAAATAAATCAAGGAGTAATTAGATTCTGTCACCCTCATTTAGCAGCTTTAGGAAAGAAAAGCCGCTCATTCCCGCTAAAAATGCAGGCTTCCTTACTCTGAGCCTTGGGTTCTACCTTAGCCCCTAAAGTCCAAGACCACGAGGAGAGAAAGGAGAGGACACATAAGAGTTCACAGTCAGGGTTCCAGACTGCATGACAACACTCCTGTAATGATACCTGGAGTGGGGCTGGAAGACCCGGGTGGGTGGGCCGTCATAATGACACTGGAATGCACGTTAACCACCAAAATCCCACAGAGAACAGAGCATCAGTTCAAATAAACTATGCATCTAGATGAAAATTTAATTAACCCATCAAAAAACAAAATGTTCACACACACAAACACATACACATGAGCCTGAGYAAAATGTAAGCTCTCATCTAACTTTAGTCAAAGCAAATCCAACCTTCGCTTTAGGCTGTGAACAGGTCACCCTGGGCAATTTATAAGGGAGGCCTCAGCAGACAAGTGAATTATGACCTCATGAATGTTTTCGTTTTAAATGTTATCTAGCTCTAAGAAAATGCAACCGAAGACTTAGGTTCACATAAAATTTCATGTATTCTTTTTGATACTTCTTATTTAACATTCCTCCACATTATGTTTTGTAAGTTAAACACTTTAATAAATTGTAGAAATTGCAATGGTACCAGAAAGCAAATCAACACCTAAATTTTAATTTTTTAAACCATTACCTAACTTCTAGACAGACTCATCCTGACAAAAAAGCTATAAGTATCAATTATTCTAAAATTAATGACAAAATTTCTAGCTTAAAAAGTTAAATATTCTATACTAGCAGTTGGCAAACTTTTCTGTAAAAGACCAAAGAGTAAATATCTTCTGTCTTGCAGGACACTACAGTGTGAAAACAGTCATAATCGACACATGAATGAGTATCTTGTCATGTGCCAATAAAACTTTATTTATGAAACAATGAGCTGGATTTGTCCCCCAAAGGCAATAGTCTGCAACCCCTCATCTAGAATAACTAAAATAATGTATAGAATCTAGTCTCCAATATATACTGCAAATTGAAACTTCAAAGCCAAAAGAACCAAAAATAAGCAAATTATAATTGTAGATGTGGTCAAAGTTTCTGAGTTTCTGGAAGTTGCCAGTTTTCATCAAAAAATGTAAGATTTGAGGGTGTCTATCTCTTACAATTTGGATATGAGGTGTCTCCTGAAAAGTTCATGTTAGACAATGCAGGAATGTTTAGAGATGAAAAGATTGGATTCTGAGAGCTGTAGCCTAAATCAGTGGACTAATCCACTTGATGGATTACTAATTTTAATGGGTCAATGGGTGGTAACTGTGGGCAGGTGGGGCATGGTTGGAGGAAGTAGGTCATGGAAGGAATTTGTCCTTGGCTTCTTCCCATTTCTCTTTTTTCTAGTTGCCCTAAGCTAAGCAGCCTTCCTCTGCCATGCCTTTCTAAGATGATGTTCTGCCTCTAAGTAAGTTGTTCTTGTCAGTCATTTTGGTCCCAGTGACATAAAGCTGACCCATACACCATCTTTTCTTGTACAGTGCCCATTAACAGGTGTTAATGCTGATCACTGCTGGAGTACGTTTCACGTGTGATATGAGATGGCTAAACAAAGTGAGCTACTTACAAGAGGTGATTCATTTGACCAGGTTTGATTCTTAACAGGTCCTAGGCACCCTGAAAAGAAAAAAAAAAAAAAATCACTCTGTCACTTAAGAGCACAATTGATTCACTCAACTTCAAAAGACCACTGAAAATACCACGCTTGGAAAAACACACAAAACAGTACAGGGAGCAGAGAAAAAGCACAATGTGTCCTTCTCAAACGACACAAAAGAATGAGTATTCACAGGCTAAAGGAACATTAATTAAAATGTAATTATCGGACCAGCAATGGTAACTATTTAAATATCAAGAAGGAGCATAAGCCCAAGTGGGAAGGAGAAAAGAAAAAGGCAAAAAAAGACACTGCATCACCTAAAATATAGCAAACCTATTCAAATAAAGTCAGTTAAAATAAGAGTCACAGGAAAAGAGAGGGGGATTATGAATCCACGCTGTAATCTGTTCACATTTGACCATATGTCTTCCTAATATTACTAATTAAAAAGCCAGAGGTATGTATTGGAGTTTGTATTTTTCAATCATGCTATAAAATGATCTTCAGTACTTGCAATTTTTAAATACATTACAGAGCCACCCTCACAAATTTATAATGAAAGATGACAGCTCTCTATAATACATATAAATGAATATGAAGGATTTCTGGGTTTGCTATATAAATTCACAATGAAATTAATACTTCATTACAAGTGTTGAAGCAAAAATAAAACTTGGTCAGAGAGACATCAAACAAGACCCCAAGCACTACACATGGACTACTCAGATCTGAGCAAATGCTGCATCCYGGGAGGTCCAGCAGGTAGCTGCTCTGGACTTTTAATACTGCAGTTTTTAGTATGTCAGTGCATACACTGACACCCTGCTACCCTCTGACCCTGCTGTTAACAGTCCTGGATGGCAAGGCCAGTATGGCTGCCTTGGGCTGCTGACCTCATTACAGTAGKCAAACTCCTGGAAACCCAAGATCTCAAAGGCTGCTGCTTGGAGTCCTTTCTGGAATAAGAGAGGGGTATAAATAACTATCTGAGTTCCCAAATATTTTCTCTCACCTTCTGTTTGATTCTTTCCAAAAAAAAAAAAAAAAAAAAAAAGGTACCACTTGAAGAATTAGTTGTCATCTATAGTAATTCAATACTAAATCAAATAGCCCACCTGGTAATGCTGCATAGAAAAATGGACAGAAAAAAGGACTGCAAAAGTGTTATGAAATAATGTTTAAGACACATGAGTAAATATATAACTAGCCCCCCAAAAGAACTGGTGAACTAACGGGGTTACTTCTATAAAAATACATCTACCTACACGTAGAAGCCTTTTGCTTTTGAAGGACATGGGTCTCCCTATTCCCATCGAAAATCCATCTACAAATATACTGGTCCCAGGGCTTCTCAGTCAGTGTAGATTACCAGGGATCCAGAAAGCATATTCACACCTCCTCCTTTATTCTGCATCATCCATCTTGATCWACCTGCTAAAATCGTAGTCTACCCTCCTACTCTTTTGTGCCTACTTGTTTAGTTGTGTGTATCTGAGGAAATGTAGCAAACTATAATGGGAATTCTATAACTCTCCTTCTGAAAAGCCACAGTGATGGTTGACCAATTTCTCACTAATGAAGTTGAGATCCAGGGTGAAATACAATCAGTCCTCTGTACCCATGGGTTCCCTACCCCTGGACTCAACCAAAATCATATCAAAAATATATATATTTTTTTCAATTTCAACATGTACAGACTTTTCCCATCATGGCATCATTCCTTGAACAATACAATATAAAATTACTTACACAGCATCTGTATTGTATTAGGTATTATAGAACATCTAGAGATGCTTGTAGACTATATGCAAACACTTTTGTCATTTTGTACAAAGGATTTGATGGTTGATGGATTTTGGTATCTTCAGGAAGTCCTGGAGCCACTCTACTATAGGTTCTGAGGGACACTATATTCTTTTTCTTTTCTTTTTGAGGTACTCTAGAGCTAACCCAAGGCCTCACACGTGGTATGCAAGCACTCTACCACTCAGCTACATCCTCAGCTTTCCAAGGGACACAATATATAAAACTTGTGTTGGCTCTTGTTCAACTGGTGATGAAAGGAAACTTCAGATTCAYACCTCTATTTGTTCTCAGGAAAATGGGATCTGGTCATGTAGGTGCCAACTACAACTAGTTAGGCTAGAACTTTCCTAGAAGAAAACGGGATCTGGTCTCGTGGGTGCCAACTACTCCTAGTATTTTCCTATCAGGAGATTTCATGCCCTCAACTCCCAATTTACAACATATAACAAGATATACTGAACAAAAGCAGAAAAAAAATTGTTCAAGTGAGCTAAAGTTCCAGAAAGTAATAGAAAAAATAATTTAAGTGAGGTCAAATATTGAACAAAAGCTTATAATAAATCARAAAAATATTGACACAAAATAATTAAAATATTTTACTGAGGTACCAAGGCTCTGGTCTTAACCCTCTTCTTGCCTATCTATACGGGCAGCCTTAGGGACCTGTGTGGCTTGGGACATAATACCAACTCCCTCATTTACACCTCCAGTCCATCCTTTTCCCTGAACTCCAGACTGGTACATCCAATGCCCACAAAATGGCTCCAAGCGATGTCAACAGCATGTCAAACTGAGCTCCTGAGCCCTCCTCCTCCCAATACTACCACATTCCTCTCCTACCAGTTGCTTTGGACAGAAACCCTGAAACCGCCTCTTACCTTCTTCTTTCTGTCACATCATAGACACAGGTTGTTATTAAATCCTATACACTCAGTTTTCAAAGAATTTATGGAACTTGAACATTCCTCACCACCTATACAGCTAGACATTTGTCCAAGATGCTATCACTATGATCTCTTTGCCTGTGCCCTCTTGAGGGCCCTAGCAGATCTACAGTCTTCTCAGCATAGCAACCTCAGGATAGCCTATTAAAACTGAGGTCAAACCATGTCACTCCCAAATGACTTCCCACCACCTTTAAGCAAAATTAGAAACCTCCAATGGCTCAATGGCCCTTTCCACTGTGGCTCCCAGTAAACTCTGACCTAACCATCAGCAGCATGATACCACCCCAACTCCCTAAAACATAAGCATCTCCCACCTGGCTGCTCTGGCTACACATGCCAGCTACCCTCTGCCCTAGGGACTTTKCCTCTGTCTAAGATCATTTTCCACAGAAAGCTACAGGACTCACCTCCTTCCTGTCCTGTCCTGTCCTGACCCAAACATCCCATCCCAGTGAATACTTCCCTGGCCCCAAGTGTGTTGGTTTTCTGTGATGTAACAAACTCTGCAGCCTAAACCAACACCATTTATTATTTCATAGTCTCCATAGGCTGAGGTCCAGGCATGGCTTAGTTAGGTCATCTGATCAAGGTGTCATCTGGGCCACCTTCCTTTCTGAAGGTCTGGAGTCTGTACACTTGGAAAAAAAAAAATCAAGATCCCTGTGGCTGAGAGACCAAGGCCCACTTTTCAGACCCCAGAAGCTGCTCACAGTCCCCGGCTCTGTGGCTTCTCATAGACCCTGTTAAATGTGGCAGCTTACTTCTTGAAAGCCAGCAGCAGAATCTCTATTCTGGCTGCTGACATGAGGTCCACCAGAAAGTTAGCGAGTCACAGAGTGATAGCCCCACATCTTCACCATGCTGGAAGGCCTGGCCCGCTCACCCCAAACAAGAGCCATCTAGAACACTGCCCTGCAGCCTCTCTAAAGCTGCCACCCCCCCACACACACACACACCCTGTAATACAGACATCCATCCCTGTCCCTGCTTTATTTTCCTCTATCACACTTTTTACCATTTGAAAAACTAAATGCTTTATGTATTTTTCTTCTGTGTTTTCCATTTCATCTCACTAATGTCTAAGTGTCAGGAGGACAGAACCTACTGACTCTCTATTTTCCTCCAGAACAGGGCCTGGCTCAGAGTGAGCTAAGAATACATGTAAACTTGAACCAGTGCATTATTTACCACACCAGCTGCCTTAAAATCATCAGGACTTCAGCATCTCTGCTGCTAAATTGCAAATTTTTATGCCCTTTATTTACAGTTAACCACATTGCATCAGAACTTTGTTTAGTCACACAAGATGAAATTAAATGTTATCCTTCCCATGGTAACAAAGACATACAGTTTTATTTTCAAGTCAAGTTCCATTGCAAACATGGAAAATTTTACCCAACTATGCGGTGAGAACTCCACATGGCATATTTGGAAAACTAGCATTTTAGGACTTATGTAAAAACAGATGTATTCACTCTCTGTTTCCCAGGCTTACAGATAATTTTTTTTGTTGATTTTTTTTATTATTTTAAAAATTCTTTGGTCGAACAGTTGAAGGAATAGGAAGTGTGTGCCCAACTTTCTTTGAATACTGACTCCAAGAAAAACCACAAGTATGTGATTAGGTCTATAATTCCAACAGAGAGAAGTATGAATTTCAGAAACARTGAACATCTATCACTGGAGGAATCAATGTTACAGATCCACTATCCATCTCATTTAAAGGAATGCTGCTTCTTTGCAAGAGGTGGAGGAGAATGCTAGACCAAGAGCCATGAACATGATATATGACTCCTTATMAAACATGTTATTTGAGATGCATTTTAACTTATGTGCCTATGGTTAACAACTTTTTTCCAGTGATTTTAAAAACCACAAATGTATAATCCCTTAAATACTCATAAACCCAGTTGCAAAAGCAAGTTCCATAATAAATTGATGATTTACCTGACAACATACCTGGTGAACACTTACGTGGTCCCCCCAAAAGTACCCAAAGATGAGCAGACAACCCTAGCTATGGCAGGTCCTGAAAAACAGCCTGGTTTTTCTTTTGTGTCTTGTTTATGCTTTCTCGTTCCATTTCAACAAAACTACTGCTATTAATATAATTCAGGAACAGAATATGTTTCTAAATCTCCCTTGTCACTGACAAATGAACATTCATTTCTGAACTGCTTGACAGTTCCTGTGTCTGGCCTCTCCACTCTCAGCATCCACATAATTTCCAGGTTAATCTGCCAAAAACAATGATTTTGGCAAGT